GCCCCACGACCGACAGAAACAAAAAAGGAAACTAACAGCTACTGCATAGAACTTAAAATAAGAGGCTGGCGCCGGTGGCTCGCCCCTGTCTTCCTAGCTACTCATGTGCACACGCGCGCACACACACACACAGAGATTAAATGAGATGATGCCCATAGCTGGGCATCTGTGGTTTATGGGCATAATCCTAGCGACTCAGGAAGCAGCACAGTTAGCAGCCAGTTCAGGCAGACAAACCACGAGACCCATCACCAAGTAACCAAGAACAAAGCCACAAGCAGAGCCAAGCACAGTTGCTCCTGTAATTCTAGCTAGGCAGGAGGCTGAGATCTGAGGACTGAGGTGGGAAGCCAGCCTGTCTAGGAGAGTCTGTGAGATTCTCCTAATTAACCACCAAAAAAGAAAGAAAAAGAGCCAGAAGTGGAGTTAAGGCTCAAGTGGCAGAGTACTAGCATTGAGCAAAAAAGCCAAGGGACAGGGGCCCAGATACACAAACACACAGACACACACACACACACACACACACACACCACAGAACACCTTAGGCTCAGGCTCAGTTCCTCGCTTTCACTGATGCTGTGTTACCTCTCATCCTGGCCCACACTCAGAAATCTGCCACTCTGGGGCGGTGGGGAGGGAAAGGACAGTAGGGGGGAAGCAAAGGAGGGGGCAGCCGTGCTGACAGGACAGGTACTCACTGCCTGACTCATGTCAACTGTGAGCCCCCCTCCCCTTTACAATAAAAAATGTCAAAAAAGAGAAATTAGCCACGCTGCCTCCCCCTGTCCCAGCCCAGGGAAAGGAGAGAGGACCTGGCAATTTCTATGAAGGAGTGGGGGGGGGGAGGAGGGAGGAGGAGGGGGAGGAGGAGGACAAGAAAAAGAAGAAAAAGAAGAAAAAGAAAAAGAAAAAGAAGTCGGGCGTCGGGGGGGGGAGGAGGGAGGACGAGGGGGAGGAGGAGGACAGGGGGGGAGAGGGGGAGAGGAGGGAGGGAGGAGGAAGAGGGAGAGAGCAGGAGGAACAGGGGAGGAAGAGGGGGAGGAGGGGGAGGACAAGGGAGAGAGGAGGAGGGAGGGAGGAGGAGGAAGAGGGAGAGAGCAGGAGGAA